CTTGCTCCCGATGCCCTCACTACTTGGGAACAAGTGTATTCGAAGTTCATCGGAAGTAGTTATTCCCATCAAAAGACACAAGAGCTCCAGTCACAAATTGTCTCATTAGCCCAACAACCGAACGAACCACTCCACGAGGCGTGGGAACGCTTCAAGGACTTACAGAGACAATGTCCATATCACAATTTTCCACCCGCCCTATTGATAAACACCTTCTATGCTTCCCTCCACCAAAATCTTCAGTACGTGGTGTATAACGCGGCCGAGGGTGATATAGGAGCAAAGACGGCCGAAGAAATGATGGAGATTTTTTAGACGATGAGTGCAAACTCGTCTCAAAAGAGTATTCGAGGGAAGAAGGCGATGGTTCATGAGATAGCTCCCGGACAAGACAAGATAGCTCACCAAATAGCCGAGCTCATGGAGCAAATGGGTTTACTTAATGCGAGAAGCGTCCAGCCGGTAACAGCTATGACGGTAGAACTGTGCGGGACATATGGAATCAACGGGCACCGATCCGAGGTGTGCCCGTCTGCCTTTGACCAAGACTTCAGAGAGCAATATACGGATGCCAACGCTCTCCAAGGATATCAAAACCGGCCAGTTAACGACCCCTATTCGAATACATATAACCCAGGGTGGAGAAATCATCCCAACTTTTCGTGGTCTAACAACAACAACACCCAACAACCCCGAAAAATCTTCATGCAACAACCGAACCGTCCCAACTTTATTACTCAACAACACATGAGACCGAACTACCCTCAACAACAACAACCACAAAGAGGCCCTATGGGAGGGACACAAACCCAAGGGGCCGGTCCTAGCTCGCTCACCCAAGACGACAAATTGGATAAGATCCTCCAATTTATGACGAACCAAGAATCGACTATCAAGCGTATGGAAACACAAATTGGCCAGCTCGCTTCGAGAGTTGGAAATTTGGAGACCGAATCCAACAAAGGGAAACTCCCGAGCCAGCCTGAGCAAGCAAAGGCGATCACCGTGTTGAAGAGTAGGAAAGTCGTTGATAACCAAGTGAAAATGCTAGAGACGGAGGAACTTAAGCCATCCGACCAGCCCAAGGATAAAGAAGACGATGTCGAGGAGAGCACAAGGGCCGATTTGGAAAAGCCGGTGGAAGGCCAAATTTTACACAAGTCCTCGAATCCATTCAAACCACGTATTCCTTTTCCGGGCTGACTTCGGGATGAGAGCCAAGACAAGCAATTCCGGGACCTTTACAACATGCTTTCAAAAGTCAACGTCAACTTGCCACTTCTCAACGTAATAAAAAATATGCCGTCTTATGTGAAATTTTTCAAATACTTGGTGACGAATAAAAGACGATTCGAAGACGGTGAGAAGGTTGTGTACGAGGCGACAAGTACAATGCACCATGACCTAACAAAGAAAGAACGTGATCCCGGGGGTTTCGTGATCAAAATAGCCCTCGAGAATGGAAAAGAAGCTTCGGGGATGCTTGACCTTAGAGTCAGGATCAACCTTGTCGTTCTCGATATTTCAATGGCTCGGTCTCTGAGACTTGAGACCAATATGTATGTGCCTCCAGCTTGCTGACCGTTCGATACGATATCCAAAGGGGGTGGTAGAAGACGTGCTTGTTCGTGTGGGTAAGCTCATTGTCCCTGTGGACTTTGTTATTCTCGATGTGGGAGAAGTGCACGAGAACGGGAAGGATCAAACCATCCTTCTCGGAAGACCATTCATGGCCACCACCAACACTCTTATTGACGTTAAGAACGAGATACTTAACATGATGGTTGTAGGTGAATTCGTATCCATCTCCATTCGAGATGCCACATCCGCATCTTTGGTGAATTTTGTGGAGGATTGTGCATTTGTGGATGTTTCCGACCCACTCGTCAATGAAATAGCCAAACGAGAATGGGAGGTGAGACACATACCTGACTTTGACGATGATAAAGAGCCGACTGTTGGTCTTTTTAAAGCCAACCAGCCCCAAACACAACTGACCTTAGAACATAAAGAATTACCTCGACACCTCAAGTATGTATTCCTCGATGATAAAAGACAAAAGTCGGAAATCATTTTTGCCGAGCTTACGCAAGATGAAGAGAGAGAGCTACTTGAGGTACTTCAAAAGAATCAAAGAGCCATCGGGTGGGGCCTCGGAGACCTAAAAAGCATCAGTCCTTCCACGTGCATGCATCGGATAGCCAAACCATTTCGGGATAGCCAACGACGGCTTAACCCAAACATGATGGAAGTAGTGAAGAAGGAGGTTCTTAAGCTCTAGTCCGACGGGTTTATTTTCTCGGTGGCCGATAGAGAGTGGGTTAGCCCCATTCATGTTGTGCCGAAGAAATGGGGCATAACAATTATTGAGAACGAGAAGAAGGACATGATCCCTACCCGTATCACTACAGGGTGGAGAAAGTGTATCGATTATCGGCGACTCAACGCCGTGACAAAAAAAAGACCATTTTCCACTACCGTTCATCGATCAAATCCTCGACCGCCTCTCGGGACATCATTTCTATTGCTTCCTAGACAGACTTTCCGGCTACTATCAGGTGGCCATAGCTCCCGAAGATCATCCGAAGACCACCTTCACATGCCTATTCGGCACATTTGCTTTTAGACGAATGCCTTTCGGACTTTGCAACGCACCCGGAACCTTCCAAAGGTGCATGTTTTCCATCTTCACCGATATGCTTGATGACTTTCTGCAGGTATTTATGAATGACTTTTCTATTTTCGGTGATTCATTTTCTCATTGTCTTCGTAATTTATCGCGTGTTCTTGAGCGTTGCATTGAATCTAATTTGACAATGAGTTGGGAAAAGAGTCACTTCATGGTAAAAAGTGGTGTCGTGTTAGGGCATATTTTCTAGTCGGGGAATAGAAGTCGATAAA